AGTATCCTGGCCTTTAAAGTTTTGGCTTTTTTTTTTTTTTTTTTTTTGAGAGAGCGTCTCTCCCTGACACCCAGGCTGGAGTTTAATGGGGGATCTCGGCTCACTGCACCTCCCAGGTTCAAGTGACTGTCATGCCTCAGCCTCCCGAGTAGCTGGGATGACAGGCATGGGCCACCATGCCTGGCTCATTTTTGTATTTTGAGTAGAGATGGCAACACTTAGGCTTTTGGAGCTGGTGGGTCTCCCAGGCCTGAACACCTGGAGATGAGCAGGCAGCAGCATCGTGTGTCGTTGGTCACGTGAGCGGATGCGAGTTTCCACTCTGGTCCTGGCCCCTTTCCCCATCCCAGCCGCGTTCCCAGGCTCCCTCTCGCTGTGGCTGGGCATCCCCACTCCCCGGCACCCAGGGCTGGCCCACGCCTTCCTCCCATAGCCTCTGCTCCCCTCGGGTCTCCACCTATGGCCTTTTTCCTCCTTCTGCCCTTTCGAAAATCCTACCACCTCTCAGATGCTACTTCTCCTCAGGATCCAGCACTGATGCCGCCTCCTCTGTGAAGCCCCCAAATCACTGCCCTGGTCACGCTTCCTGCCATCCTCTGAAGAGTGGCCCAGCCCACTGACCGTCCATCCCACACAGCCCACCATGTGGCCTAGCAATGGCTGTCTGTCACTGCTATATTTCTCCATCTCTCCCATGCTCTGAGACCTCCTCCGGGGCAGGGACCTTGCCTGATCCATCTAAGAAGAAGCTGTACTGGGCCGGGCACCGTGGCTCACACCTGTAATCCCAGCACTTTGGGAGGCCAAGGCCAGTGGATCACCTGAGATCAAGAGTTCAAGACCAGTCTGGCCAATATGGTGAAACCCGCTTCTCTACTAAAACTACAAAATTACCCAGGCATGGTGGTGGGCACCTGTAATCCCAGCTACTTGGGAGGGCAGGAGAATCGCTTGAACCCAGGAGGTGGAGGTTGCTGTGAGCTGAGATGGCGCCATTGCACTCAGCCTGGGGGACAGGGCGAAACTTCGTCTGAAAAAAAAAAAAGAAGCTTCGCTGGGTGCTGGGCACCAGGGGGAAATGAGAGCAATCAGATCCTTCTCATCCCCATTTCCTTAGGAAGTTAGGGAGACTGATGCTCTGGCAGTGGCTAGAATC